CTAAAATCAATTACTTCGGATTACAAATAATGATCATGGTGCAGAATATATCCTGTGGTGAGAAGATGTCAAGTCTGTGGTCAGTGTGGTCCTACCTAGGATGTATAGTTTTCACTGAATTGAATTTTGGGGTATTAAAGTTGTAGGAGAGCAAACCTATTTGCTCATAGTAAATTATTTCAGATGGGTGAACTGGAAAATAGCAAAGTGAAGATTTGGGGACTGCATTTCTGAGGAGGAAATTTGTGTGCATTAATTACTGCAAAACCAACAGAGTGCTGAATTCCTGTCTCTGTGCTAGAATTGTAAGTCATGTTTTGCACACAGAAAGTCCTGCTGTGTGGGAGGTGGATGAGAAGCATGAGGGACATTGTGCTCCAAGGCCAAATTTTAAAAATTGTTATAGGAGGTGTGGAGATGAGAAGTTGCTGGGAAGGGGAGCAGAACTTCTGTAGTTTATGCAGGCAATAAGACACATTTGAGTGTGTTTGTTCAGAAGACATGATGAGAGGAAAAGAAAGTGAATGTTTTCTTACTAAAGATGCTTTTCCAGGAGAGCTCAGAGTGAAGAGACTGAATGCAACTGTTTCTGAGAGGAAGTTGGCACTGTCAGAAAGCACCATTGTGTCTGCACAGAGTGACAAGCCACAAGATTTTACATATGCATTCTTTGGCTCTGAAGCACAACAAATTACTTGCTTTCAGAAATCTGTGTTACTGACTAGAATGTGTGTGCTTTGGTGTCTCAGAAATTAAACGGGTCAGCAGTGGTGCACAGATATATTAACAATATTCGATGGGTGCAAACTGCTGTGACGTGCTGTCTTCAAGAGTCAAACTCTCCCAACAAGAGATGTCCTCCTAGAGTGACAGTGAGAAAGGGTGAACACTGCATGTGAGCAGTAGCATGGGACATGGTGAGCACTGGTGCATGGTAGCCCCAAAGGCACCTCAACTACTATATACTGAGAAAGCAGGCATTTTCATAGCTATACTTTTTAGAAAATGATAGGAATACCACAGGCTTTGAATGTAGTAGGAAATCCAAGAGAGTATCAGCAGCAGTTGCACATTCCCGTGAATTTAAGCAGCACGAGGTTGAGTTCTTAAGCTACTGCTGAAAAAAACCTCAGGTCACTGAAATATCAGACAGTTTGTAAATCATGGGTGATTCTTCTATCTAGCGCCACAGTGGTGATACGCAATTTTTCACAAAGTGAGAACAAGATGATAGGCAGGAATTGCAAGACAGAAATAATTGTGGTAGGATGATATTCAACTCTAATGTGCTTGCCATGTCCAAAAGCACCATCTTTGCTAGTGCTGCTAGTGAAAAGTTGTTCTTCCTGAACATAGCCTGGGAGTTTGGCGGTAATAGTTACTTTTGTTGATATTGACATACAGCTGAGAAATGTTACTTTATGGGCATGCTGGAATAGCCTTTTTCAAAAACACTCCAAGTCTTCTAGAGGTAAGTCAAGGTCGATCTAAAAGTTTCAAGGCTTTTGTTGATGGAGTGTCAGGCTTGAGCTGATGCTATAAACCCTGCAGGAAGCGAAGCACTGATTTACTGATGCTACTCACGTTTTGGGTAAGAGTTGGCTGAGGTCCATCTGTCTTGGCTTGCTCATGGAGTGAATGTACTTTAGAACCCAGCTCATCTGGGAACAGCAAAAAGCTCCTTGACCAACATAAGCAATAAGGCAGTTTGCCAGGAGCTCATAATAGATGAGAGCATCCTCTTGTTGAAGAAGTCTGTGATGGTTGTTCAAGCAAATACAGTGTGTTTCCTTTAGGTATGCAAATACGGTTAGTAGCCCTTGATGGAGAAGTGCTGAGTATTGGTACTTCTAGTGGCTCAGGTCATGAACTTATGTACAAGTCACAGAAATTATCATCTTGGATGTTGTTAATTATTGAATCATGTTGCCAATTCCTCTGCCCTGTTTTTTTACTGCTAGAACTTGCTTTAAGAGAATGTGTAAATACAGGTGACAGAACAAGCACCTGCTTGTATAAACGCATATAATAGTTTGTCCAAAGTATTTTAAAAAAACATTTTAGCATTATTTGCTGCTGGGCCTCCTCAAAACCCTTTGGGGAAATGAATTAAAAGTGCTGCCATCTGTTTATCTTGCACTTAATACTGAGGGTTAAAAAAGAGTTCCAGCAGTTTTGAAGCAGCATTATATAATTTTCTTTTTAAAAATACATGCTAAGGATACAGTGAGGGCTAGTACATTGGTCCAGCTTTTGTGAGTTGTTGCAATGCTTTTTTCAACAATATGTTGGTCTTTTTATCTTACAAGAAAACAACTCAGTGTGAAACCTGTGGGTGAAAATCACTGGCATTCTCTAGGAGAATTATTTTGTTCTAGAAGTAACACCAGGCAGAGCAGCACCTGACTTCTCGCTGAGCTCCAGTGGCAGCTGCATTGGCAGCTTCAAAGGTGAAGCCAGGCTTCTCTCAGGCTGATGCTGCTATATTCCCTGGACTCTTGCTCGTTCTCTTGGATGTGAATTTCTAGGTTTTGTTTTTAAATTAGTCGAGTTCATCCGAAGTTCTATCCCCTTCGAGCAGAAAGTTGCCCAAAAAGAGGGGTATTGGAATGAGGGATGTTTCTGGGGAAAAAAACAGACCAAGCACCGTCAGTTCATATTTCATCATGTTTTTTAAAGTGCTATATGGAGGAAGAAACAGCTTTCCTATTTCAGACTACTTTTTTTTTTCCTTTTAATTTCTTTTTCACCCCCTTTTTAAGCAACAAAGCAGTGTTTTCACAAAGACAGGCAATCTTACCAGCAAGAGTCCTGATGAAAGAGCACGTGGGGTAATTCTCTTACTTTTGCTGGTTTTGCTTGGTTTCTCACAATATAAATTGCTAGTGGAATTGCTTCTTATTTCCTCAGTGTAAAATTAGCGTAATTAAGATGATTTTGCTCTCTGTGCTGTATTATTTACTGTACTTCACTTAGACTAATGGAGAAGACAGAAATCTCACCCTGCAGGTGATGTTTTGTCATTGTAATATAGGGCAGATATTGAATATTGGGGCTGTGAAAGGTGAGAGTTGGATATTAGAGAAGATAAATAAGAGTGGGGGAGGGAACTGAAGAGGAAATACAGGATTTGCAAAGACCTCAGGGTACGCAGCTTTCAATGTACTGTTTAAGCTTTAATGATCCATATACAGATTTTAGCAACAAAGTAATGGCCAGCTAGAGGAATTAAGGGCCTCAGGTGATGGTTTGAACAGCAAAAGCTGACAGAGGTCATAAATACCAATCCAGTTTGATACAGGCTCTGGTAGGGATTGGCATTTAGGTTTCCAGTCTCTGTATATATGGTCATTTGACAAGGTTTGAGGGAAGAGCTGGTGAAAGCTCAGTTACTGCAGGTGAACTTTTGGGGTTCCCCTGGGTTAAATGTTCTTTTTTCTGATAGAAGGTACCTTTCGGAACAGTTGTTCTGATTATCTGTTTCCTGTATCCATACCTTTTTCAGTAGCAATTTTTCATTCTTGTCCTTTAAAAAATCCCAACATATCCAAATATCTCTGAGATTTTACTCCAAGAAATTGTCCAGATTCTAGGATGAGGATCCTACGCAAATTGTGTATGGTTCTTCCTTTGAGAAAAAAACTATTTAATTTGTGGAATGTTCAAAGGTGCACTACGATGCACTGTCGAAATGTTTAAAAAGAACAATTGTAATTGCAATAGTCGATTTATAGCTTAGTGGCAACATATTCAGAACACGAGAGATTCCTCTGTGCTGACTCTCTGAATAGCGTGAGTTGCCATGTTGCTACTGTGCTGCTTCCTAGGGTGATCAGTTGTCAGCTCCATCTCTCAAGCACCAGTATGAGACAAGATATGCATTTGCTGTAATTCAAAGCCAGATGACTCTTGGAGTTGCCTCAGCCTGATGGAGCACCCTCAGTAAGACAGCAAGGGGTAATAATGGCATGGATCTCCCTAGCTTCCATACTGCACATTAGTGGAGTGAGACACACATTTGGTGTTTCATTATTTTCTTCAGCAGAAGACAAGTGACAGAAGAAAGTTTCACGTAATTCAGTACAGAAATGTGCCACTCATTTGCATGTCTTTGTATCTGTTTACTTTGCTGTGGTGACTGATAGTCAAGCTCAAATGTATGCATGAGATGACAAGACACCAACGACAGAATGACATTGGTAACAACACATGGCATGGCAGCATATATTGCTAAAATATGCCATGTCTCATGGAACATTAAATATGTAATATGGTATGAACATTAAATATATACTGTAGTGTAAAAGAAATGCAGTGAAGGAGATCACCTGGAAGTACAATAGAGAAGTCTTTTATTTGTCAGCAGTCTACAAACATGAGCTAGTGCCATTAAAAAAATACATGGTATTTTCTCACCATATATGTTTATTCTCATGAGCTAATACAAATGATTCCATCAAATCATTTGTATGTTACTTTCACTCAAACCTGTGTTACATTTGAGTGAAAAGGGAATTATTGCTTAGAACCCTATTCTTAGAATAAATGTTGCACTTTGTTTAGAGAGGAACTCTGTTGTGTTGGATAGGAAAGATGATGTTTTGGAAAGACGATGTTTTGGAAAGACATGCATGACTTTTCTCTAGGACAAAAGAATTATCTTAGAGTGTAGAAGCAAACTTGGTGTCTTGTTGATAAGATGTGAGTGACTGAGTCACTCGGAGGCGGCCGCTTAAGGAAAGCATCTCTAGGTGCAGCTGATTTTTGTCTCAAAGTGAGGTTGAGTTTGACCAACAAGTTGAAGATAGCACTGAATGGGAAGGAGTGATCTTCAAACACACTAAACATGTGGAACTCATGGACATAGAAAATATAGTAAAACTGAGTCAGGTTAAGAAACTCAGATGTTAAAAAAATTATCCAAGTCACTAAAAAAAAAAGCCAATGAATGTAAAATATTTGGATCCTTTTTAAGATAACCTGTATGTTTTGCTTTTCAGCTTCTCTTTTGAAAGGACTGAAACATGCTAACATTGTGCTGCTTCATGACATCATTCACACCAAGGAGACCCTGACACTTGTGTTTGAGTATGTGGTGAGTAAAGTAACTAATGTTCTGGTTATGGTCCAGAATGTATTGAATTTGTTGGAAAAGCTCTCTTTACCTTCGGTGGTCTATGTATCAGGCCAAAATAACCCTTTGCTTTCTTCAGGAGAGTGCAGGCTATAAGAGATGGTGCTTTGTAGTGGGCTAAAAATGGAAGGCTGGGCTAGACCAGATTCAGAGATGGAGAAGTCGCTATTAGGTCTCTTGAAGTACCTTTTAGTGTTCATTTGACTTTTCAGAATGGTTTCTTACTCTGCTTCGTACTTACATTTTGTTTGTTAGAGCTTTTTTGTTACTGATGTGGTTAAGTAACTTTAAAATAGCTAAGAATAATGTAGGTAAGAAGTACAACAGGACTGAAGTACTTACAGGTAGTTCCTTCATCCAAAGCGTGTAACAAGTTTAAATGGCTTTTGTTGGGGCTGGTTTGCGCATAATATCTTTTTATAAGCAGTGTCAGTAAAAATGGAGGCTGGAGCACGCAATTTAAAATTGTGGATTATTATTTTTTTGCCATGACTAGTATTTTATTTAGTAATTAAAACTTAAATTTACATTGTACACAGTGTAGTGATGTAATAGTGTTCAGAGTATTACTTTCCAAAGTCTTGGGCTTGGCCTCCTAATTAATCCTTTTAGTTTTTCTAAGACAAACATATGGCATTTATGTAGCATTTAGCTGTGGAATTATGCAATGTACTATCATAATTAACCTCCCAGTTTTCACAGATGGGTCCAAGAACATGTAATTTAAAAGAAACAAATGAGTTTAGAGATGGTTAGATTTTTAGTACGGTATCTGTTATTGTGTTGTACAGTGATTACTAGTTTTACTCAGTACATCCCTACTTAAGACAGATGGAATTGTTTGGTGTGTTTTTTGGCCTTAATTTGTGCATGATAATGCACACAGCCTCTTGTCTGGAGAAGCCATTCACCTTGTCTGTTTACATAGAAATGCTACAGTGTGATAATGGGGGTATTTGGCTACAGGAGCCTGCAGAGCCATCGCATGCACTACGTATTTCCTTGCCTCAAGTATAGAATGTTAATGGAAATGAAATTCCTTTTCTTACAATTGGTGATTCTTCTACTGCTGACTTATACATTGAAATAGCATAGGAAAAGCATTGATATTTAATTTTATGTAACGATTGGTGTCCACCTATTTGTGTAACACTACTTGAATGCATTTTGCAGTCCCTTTTATCAGCTGTTGTATTTAGCTGTATTCATCAGAACTGGTTGAGAAATGAGATATCTAGAAAATGTTTCTTCCTAAAATAGATGTTGTTGCCTATTATGCTGATATCAATTTCTGGATTTTGTAGCTAGTAGTAGTGTTGACAGACTCTGGCTCCCAGCCATGTGTTCTATCATGTCGGTGTCCATGATAAGCACGAACAAAGACTAAGCTTGATGCAGGGGCGAGTTCTTCTGGATTCACTTAGCTGTTTGTTTTTCAGCAGGGTGCTGGTTGTTGCACCTTTTTATTCTCATGATGTTTGGCAGCTATTGAAACTGTTTCAGGATCTCATTTAATAATGGCTTCTAGCAACTGACCCATGTAGTATTTTAGTATTTTAGCTGATGGGCAGAGTCTTTCAAGCTGGTGTTCACAAAGAAGGGGAGGGATACTTTTGTTCTCTCCAACCAGCCTAAGGGCTGTATGGTAATGACATTGTAACTTGCCTCTGTGTCTTGAGATGACAGAATTGCTTAACAAAAGTGGGTGTTCATTGTTAGGTAATGTAGTTATAGGCTGATAAAGTAGCTAGTGCTATCTGATAATGCTTACTGCTTGGGAATGCCCATTTAACCTGAACTGAATTCATGTTGGTGTGCTTGATACAGGTTTTAATTGTGTGATTGCAGTGACCTATTTTGTTCCTTTTGTCAAAGAGCTCTCATTCAGTGCGTAATACAAATATGCAGAGGCAAAAATTACTGTTGCCTGTTTAAATCTACAAATTCTGGCTGGTTGACTATGCAGTCCAGCTGTGTAATTGGTGTTATGTAGCTCTGTATCTGTAATGTCTATTTTGGTTTGGTTTGGGTTTTTTTAACACCTGTGCATGGTTTAGCTCAATAATACGAGTGATTTGTACTGAAATCAGTAGAAATACTCATGTGATTAAAATTACATGGTGGTACACTTTTGAATGACAGAGGCCTAACAAACCTAAAAGGGATTGAATTTGGTTTAAAACCAGCACACTTCATACAATGCCATCATGGAACTGATACACTATTGCTGTTAATCACTATTGGCCAATTCAAATATAATAAAAACCATTTGAGTGAGATGTCATGATTAAATTAGAGATGAACAGTTAGTGATCCAAGAGTTCTCAGAAGATGGAGACTTTGGGTCGCTAGGTTCTTGACATTTCCATTGGGAAATTAATACTGATGAAAAACGTCTGAGGTTATTGGAGGTGTTCGGTTTCAGCGTTAACCCTGAAAGAGTAGAATGAAATTTAATTTCATGTAGCACCTTTCATTGTAAAATGCATTGCAGTAATAAGTTAAAAGCTGAAAGCAGAATAGCCTCTGAATGGAAATATGGCAGTGATTAAATTCTCTGGGCACCTCAAATTAGGATTTTTTTTTTATATGGAAGTCTGTCAGATGAAAACAAGACAGATTTTTAACTTTAACCTTGATGGTCCCCAGAAGCAAGAAAAGTCAATCTTTAAAAATTCTGTCTGACACTTGAAGATCAGGATAGTTTCATTCTCCATGTGAGCATTTTGGTGGTGAATGTGAAGCTGTGCATTTCTGTTGAGGAAGAGAAGGGAGGCTTGCTTCCTTTGAATGGAAGAACTTAATTGAATATAGTTCAGAATATGTAGTACCTTGTTAGTAGGGCATAATTTCACTGCATGCTTTGATAACTCTTACATCAGCTATGATTATTGCTGATCATTCAAATGTACTGAAAAGGAAGCTGAGAGCTCATTTTTGACACTGATGGTTGAGACTTGTTGCTCGTTACCTGAGGAGTTTTGAGGGTGAGCTGCTTGGAATCACCTGTGCAAAACCAGAGGGATTGATAGTCTTTCATGTATGAATGGTGAAGAACCCAAAAGCAAAATGTGAAATTTTGACGCATTTTGCATAGGGTGTCTCAGATTGCGATGACTTCCAAAAGAAAAAGGTCAGTTCAGCTGTACAGTTCAGCGGAGGAGTACGGCTGCCCACCTAAATTTTGTTCCCCTCCTCTCCAGGCTCGTGTTAGTTTATGTGACCTTGTGGGTATGCCAGCTGTAGTGCCAGTGCCACTGATACAGCCAAATTTGCCCAAGGAAATGATCGATTTTACAGGTGACATGTCAGACATATTGAGAGATCTGTTAGTTCGAAAATGGTCATTAGCTCCTACCATTTGTTTCTTCACTTGTTTATTTAAAAGGAAGATGACTGAATTAGAAACACTTAATTGCTGAAAGGCATTCCTAACCAATACATGTTGCTGCAGGCTTGGTAGAATGATAATGAGGTTTTTAGTAGGATGTGTAATTATGTAAGTATATTATTATCAATAAATGAACCAGCAACTTGTCCCTTTTTGGCATATAAAAGTGAGCTTGTATAGCAGTACTTTACATTACACTTTCAATATTTATGAACTAGATTTGAAACAAGAACAGATACATTTATAATTGGAAGTATGAGTAATGAGTAATATTATTTCTGCCTCAACAGTAAAAAAGCTTCAGACTAATCTAATAGTGTAATTTAAGCCCAGGCATTTTCAATTACCTTGCCTGTTTTAATCTTTGTGTATGTTTTTCCTTCTTAAAAATTACTTTCCATTAAAGAAGAAAGTTTAATTCTCATTGCTTCATTACAGCAACTAGAATAGGTGGTTGTACAATGAGCTGGCTTAATAAAGTTCATTAGTTAGATTTTCTTCCTATTTCCTGGAAGGAAAAAACAGAGGTGAAAGTTTCTCATTTTAATGCTGATTTGAAATTGAGATATATATATGCTTTATTGGAATTAAGATTTACAGAGCTGAAGTTTCAAAACCTGAATTTTGAGTTTGTCATGGGACATCTTAGAAAAGTATTATGCAAGAAAATGGTCAACACTTGTTACCTAAAAGGATCAAAAATTTTTGCATTGAAAATTTTTCATTTCTTGTAACATTTGATCATTTGGATTGAACACTATAATTGGTTTTCTGGTTTTATTTATTTTATAGGGGAACGTGTTGAAAATAAAGGCATGGTGGCTTTGCTCATTTGTGGGGGGAAAAAAAACACCAACAAAAAAGCCACATTATTTAGTGGATGAGAGCACAGGGAAAATCAGTAAAGAGCTGCTTTTGAGCTCTGATCACTAGGATCCTTCAGCAGTGCTGAATACCTAGAATAAATTAGGGAAACTGGGCACAAGAAGGAAGGATAGGTCTTCTAATCCGTGGTTGAGAGTGAAACTTACTTGAATGCTGCATTACCTTATCTTGATGTGAGTGTGAAACAATGGGCGATTTTCTTCCCTTTGGAGGTCAAGGTGGTTGCAAGGATCGAAAGCTAGTGAAACTCTGCAACAAGCCAGATGCCTCCTGTCTCTTGGCAGGCACCCCTGCTTGCTGTGAACATGCTTCATCCACTCTGGGAAGGAGTGAAGCAGTGGAGGGCTCCCAGCATGGGACTAGTTGACCGTAGTAGTTTCCATTTGCCTTGGCCAGAGAAGGAGCTATTCTCATGTTGGTTTAACCTCTGCTCATGCCCCAGTCTTACCCAAAGTTGAGCTGCTTAAACTGCAGTTGAAAAGATGACAGAAAAAGGCTGAGAGGAAGCAGGGAGAAAGGAAATCCCCCTCTGCTACTGAGAAGAGGCAGTAAGGGAGTACTCCTCTAGGGAAAGCCTTGTTTTTCAAGTTTTAATAAGCAGATCAGAGACAGGAGCTGCTGATGTCCAAGTATAGGTTGGAAACGCAAACAAAGTCAGCTTTGGGAGGTAGGGATTCAGAGGGGA